CCCCTCCCCCTCGGTTACTCAGCAAACTCCATTAAAACATTATGCACGTCCCGATGCGCTTGGAAAATCAGATGTGACCATTTATGTGGGGATAGTCGGTAAAATTCTGTTATCATTGATCTTCAAAAGAATAATTGCAATATAAATATTCCGAAGGATTCGATCCGCAATGCTCTCACTCCTTTTGAGTAATTTTTGGAGATTTATTTTTCAATTTACGTTATCCTGAATTTTATAAAATATTTATAACATTTGACGGAGTGGGAGATAAATGTGAAAAATTGAGAAAATGGAGGACAGGGTATTTAATTTGAGTGGGAAAAGATGGAGAAAATTGGAAGAAAAATTGGAATTTGAATTCAGTCCGGGCTGGTGATTAATGTGTGACAAGAGACATGTCAGTGTCACGTCGTGTTTTTAAAATTTTTTATTTATTTTCTTTGGAGTTCGCCTTTTGATGCGAACCGCTTGAAGGTATCGTAAACCAGCAGAAGGAATACAGAGATGACCGACGCGCGATGACCGCTTGACATTTTCACAACGGGAGACTAGGGCGCACGATAATGACAGGTTTAACTTCTTCCCGGGACATCCACAGTCCATCGAGTCGATCGTCCACTTCTGTTCACGTTAAATTACCTGGAAACAGTATTTTTTTTTGTTTCGCATTTCAATTTTGCTTTTTTTTTTGTCCTCCGGTGCATTTACGCAGGAGTGAAGCCAGTGTTTCTTCGACTTCCGCGATGACAACCTGACCGACAGATTATATTACTGGATTTATTTTTTTCCCTATTCTCTACCTCGTGATTTTGGCTCCAGAGATTTCGGAAAATCTGGATAAGTCCTTCGTACCAACAATGCGATTATCTCAGTTCAAAATTTGCCTCGAAAAATTTACCGGGGAAATTATTATTTCATCAATAGTCGGTTGAAGAGCATCTGCCAGGACAATGAGTAGAGAGAATCAATTCATATCCATTATCACTTGATGATGTAACCGATCATCCGTAACAAGTATTTCGCATTAGTCTCCTTCGCCACGTGCGTTAATTGATTGAATTAGAATGACGTTATTTCCGAATTGATTTCCACCCACATGGGTATCAATTTCACCGGAGAGTGACGCATTCTTGGGTTATTGTTTGTTTTTTTTTTCTTCTTTTTCGGGAGATAAACTCATTTATTGAGCTGTGTATCAATTTGTGAGAAACCCGCGCTGAGGATCGCGTGTTCCAAAACTATCAGGGTACCAACTCAACCCTCTGGTGTGCCCTCTCCTCTTCCCCTGAGTGCGTTTTGTGAGAAACGGCCATGGGAACCGCGTCGATAATTCTTCAGGGCTTTTTGGAAATTTTCTGTCGTACTATTTTTTTCCTCTCGTGATCATCATTGCCGATTTCTAATCGTACAACTCCGCAAATCGTTAAAAAAAAATCTCAATAGCTATGGG